GGCATCGGCCAAAAATTGGGAATCGGTCGGACTCTAGGTTTGGGTCGTATGGATACTTATGTACATAAATAGACGGAATCGTTGCTTTGTAATTACAATATACTTAAAATATTCTTAAAGTTAAATGCATTCGTTTTGTGTCAGATATTCATTGGAGGAATGTTTCATCGATTTGCTTATAAATTTTAAATACATATTCGAATATGCTGTTCCACGCAGACTAAACGCCGAATACAGAAAGGACGGAATTTAAGCAGAATGCCTCCGGAAAAATTCGCATTGTGGCGCCACTCATTTATTGTTGAGGTACGTTGAAACGAGGTACAATAAACTAACGATTAGTATCGTATTAAGGCCACTGCGGTAGTGACGGCTAGCGTGATTCCGCGTTGTTTTACCTATTCAAACAATTTGTTTATTTCTTATTTTTACTTATTGAGATTGCCGTTGAAAAAGCCTTACCCATTTGGAAGCGCAATGTAGGACTTGACATGCGACCATCACCGCCATTACTGAATGCCAATACACGCATGTTATAGCTCTTTCCTGGTGTAAGATTTGTGATGAATGCTTCTAACTTTTCGCCCACTGGTATTATTGTGTTATTGGCCGTTATCATATTTTGATCTGTTTCCCAAACTCGTACCTAAGAAGAAATTAAAGAAAGAACTAAAGCATTACAAATTTGCACATTCTGACTCTGCAAAAAGGAAAGCACCTTGTAGCCTTCGATAGGCTCCTCATCTTGTGCTGGTGAAACATAACGCCATACGACGCGCACTGTGGACGGATTAATACCATATACGTGAACGGAAGATGGCGGCTTTTGTGGCGCTTTTCGATAGGTACGCTCTGTAAATGTCAAAATATATTTTTCATTAATAAATCTTGTATTTGCAAAGCAAAGTGGACAAACTTCAATACATTAAATAAAACAAGAATTGGATTCTTACCTTCAAAACGTTCACTTTCCGGCCCCTCGCCTGCCGCATTATAAGCCATCACCTTCACAAAATAATACGTGTCTGGTTCCAGGCCAACTATGAGCGCCCAATTTCTGGTAGTACGTGATAAATAATAGACAGCATCTTCCTCATCATGTGTCGTTTTCCAATATTTCAACTAAACACAAAGCAAAGAAGGCATTGGAAAAATTTTAATAAAGTAAAATCTTTTTGCCTAAACTTACCCTGTGCCCAATCAGTTTACCGCGTACATTCTCTCGAGTCATTTCGATAGGTCGCCAAGTTACATTGAAAGCTGTAGAGTTATATGGTGTGGCAAATGGTTTTTGCGGTGCCACTTGCGGCATATCTTCTGCGGAATATATAACTACCGGCTCACTCTCAGGCCCCTTACCAATATTGTTAATGGCCTGGACTTTCACCTCATACTCGGTATAATAGTTATTAAGCGGTATATTGACGACCGCTACGCCATCATTATGCAGCGTTTTCAATTCCTCTGACGCCCATTCTAGTGTGCCCTTTAGTTTCCAGAACACTTTATAATGAATACCATGGCTATGCTGTTCTTGCGGCAATAGAGGATCCCACGTAATTGTCAAATCACCAATTTTACCACCGCCTCCACCAACGTTACGCGGCGAAATATACGGCTTATCTTCGTACGTGCTGTATATTGGTGATGGAGCAGATGGAATGCCAATGCCCAGGTCATTGACAGCAGCTACGCTGAATTCGTAAGAGCACCAGGGTATTAGATTTGAAACTTCGGCCTGTTGACGACCAGTATATCGATCTATCTCACGACCACGAACATGTGTGGATGCATTCACCCATGTCCGATTCCAGTTGGTGCGGCCAAGTATGTTATAGTAACGTATCGGTCGCCCATTGTTGGCGCCATCCACCCATTCAATTATTGCTTTTGTTTTTCCAATTTCAACAACTTGTACACCACCAGGTGCGCCAGGTGCACCCTCAATGACTACCAAAGTTTTGGATGAGATCTCATTCACCGAAGATTTTACAACGCACTCATAGTCTCCACCATCGAGCAGTGTGACATTATGTACAGTAAGCCGATTCCGATCAATTATCTAATACAAATTTTTAATTAAATACAGCTTGCAAACATATGTACTTATGCATGTATGTATACAAACATATTCTGACTTGACTGCTAGAGTGTCATAATCTAAAAAATCAAACGATCGAAATGAATACGCACTTTCTTGTAATGAGCTATTACACAGCGCAATACTAATTTTGGTGCGGCAAATGTTAAGGCCGTTTTTGATAGTTTTTTTTGAGCAGATCACGAATCCGAAAGTATAAAGATTCTATCAGGCACAGAAAAAAACGAGCTTTATGCAATATTTCAGAAGCTCTAACAAAGAAAGAAAATTTGATAGAACCTTCCATTTAGGTTTAGATTAAAGCTAGAACTCTCGACTACTGTTCCTGAAAACACTGTCCCTGCACCTGGACCTGATGGTCACTAAAAGCATAAACAACGGCAGTGTTGATCCGGATCAACTCGGGAATTAACTGCAGTTGATTAAGTCCGAGTTTATCCGGGTCAACGCTGTCGTCTGTTTGAGCTTTTATAGCCATTTATTGAACAATAAAAAATACTTGAAATTTGTGCTATTGCAAAAAAAAAAATGTTGGCCAAAATAAGTTTTTACTTTTCATTTTTTGAGTACTTTTAGTTTAAACCGACCAGCTCGGCGTTTCTGTTAACAGCCTCACTGGAAATGCTATGTTAGGGTCAGGTAAATGGTATTTTAAGGGATTGTAGTCGATAGCTCAAGCCTTAATTTAAGTCTAAGTGGAAGGCTCTATCACCTTCTGTTTAATTGCAGTAGGTACTCAAACTTGGCCAAAATCAGTTTTTGCGGTTCCACAAGTGCCTATAAGTAACCATCACGTCAAGGTGCAGGAATGGTATTTTAATTTAAGTCTAAGTGGAAGGTTCTGTCATCTTTTTTTTTTTTTGCTAGAGCATCAAAAATAATGCAAAAACACCGAGATTTTTCGACACTTTGACCCCGTTTTTCTCAGAATCGGGAGCTGATGGAAACTTTATATATAGGCATTCGTAATCAGCAAAAACAGCTTTAAAATGTGCCTGAAATCTTGCATGAAATGTTTACACAACACAGAAGAAGAGGTGGCGGTCATTGCTGCTTACTTAACTTTTTTTTTTTAATTATGACACTCTTGCAGCAAAGATATGATATGTACTAATATGTATATGTATCTAAATAGGCTTACAATTCGTTCTGTGCCATCGTGATTGTTCGCAGTACTTCTCCATTTCGCTTCCAAATGAATGCAATATCAAGCAACTCATCGTAAGTTGCATCGCACTGTAGGAATATTAGATCGTGTTCTTGTGTGGTAATACGTAGTGGTGGTGTCTGTATAAAGCGCAGTTCCTCTTCAGTTAAAAAAAAATAAAAATAAAAAACGGATTTATGTTCATAAAATTTATATGCTTACGCAATACGATTACTCGTGCGCGTGACTCATCAGTGCCTGCTTTATTTGTGGCAACGCATGTGTATATACCCTCATCGTCACGTGACGTAGGTGAAATTATCAATGTGCCACTTGGTAATATGCGTCTATGTCCACCAGCCCCAATAAGCTGGCCATCCTTCTTCCACTGAAATTTGGGTCGAGGGGCCGCCTCAGGATCACAAACGATGGTCGTATTGCCATTTTGTACAGCATAAATTTCAGATTCTAGTGGTCTTTTCTTGAATGACGGTTTCATCGAAAGAACGCGTAGTTGTGCAGATGAAAACGCAGTCTTTAATTGATTCGTAGCACCACACTGATACATTCCGTTATCCTTTTCCGCCTCTAAATACTTTATGGTAAGGACGTTGTCCTGTATAATATACCGATCTTTATCTATCCGTTCAGGATCTAAGCGTTCGGCATTTTTATACCACGTATAATTGACATCTGGTATGGCGAACGATTCGCAAATAAATGTCACATCGCCATTATAATCCTTAATTTTATCTTTCAGTGGAATTGTAAACTGTGGTTTCATTTGAATATTTATTTGGATCGACTTATGGATCGTTTTACGTGGATTTGAAATAGTGCATTCATACTCGCCACTATCATTTATGGTCGCGTTTTCAATGATTAGCACACGATTGTTGCTTGTTGTGTATGCATTTCGCTGTAAGGGTTGACCACGTCTCGTCCAATTATACGATGGAATCGGATATCCGAAGCCGACACATTCGAGACGAATTTCATCACCAGCGATAGGTGCTTCGGGGAATACCTTAAAATATTTATTTGATGAAATAAAGTCATAAATATGAAATATTGGACCTAGACATCTATGGTTCCCTCCCAGCTCTAGATACAAAATACCTCTTTCCATGTTCCCGGGAGTAGCTAAAGTTAAAGGCGTCCATCGCTATATCGCCTAGCCTATTCACCCTCATTGCGAGAGTCGTGTCGAATGCAAGTCGTTTTTCAAGAGTCGAATCGTATCGAAAATCTCACCTCATTGCCTAAAATTTCCACTCGACTAGTGTATTAAAACGGAAATACTTGGCAGCATTGTATATTTTTCGACGATTTTGGTTGTTTACTTATTTCAGTACGACAATAGATAATGCTACTGTTGTCGAGTCGTACAATTTAGCCTAATTTACGACTTACACAATGGGGCTGATTATCATCCTGTTCTGATTCCATAATGTGATAGCATAAAAATTAAAAAAAAGAGTTTTGGGGAATGACAGTCCTTGTCCATATATAAATCTCGGTATCCGATTACGTAGTCGCGGCTGTCATTGGACATTGGGGCTTCCGCTCCCAGCTAGTTTTTGCCGAGCTTCTCCCCTAATCCGTGGTGCGCATCTTAATGTTATATCACAAATGGAAGGACCTACTGCCTAATTGAAGCCGCTTTCGATCGGCAAATTGTTTTATGATAAGCTTTTTTAAACATACGAGATACCGAGAATGAACTCTCATTAGAGAAAACTTTTTCTAATTTTAGATGTTGCCAGGACTAGGGATCGAACTCAGGGCTTACTGAGTGGTAGTACGTACCTCCGACCATATGGATATAGCGGACGCTCTCAGTACAAAGTGAGACAAGGGGGCTCTAATGACACCCTGCAATGCAGAATGATGCTGAAACTCAAATGAAGGACCTATTATCTATCTCTGGTGACAAATTTTGGATATTGCCGTTATTTTACAGTGATTGAACTTTGCTTTAAACTTACCTTAGGGAATGTGTTTGCGAAAATCAATGTCTGATAGTTGCTGTTCGGCACAACTCTTAGTGGGAAAAATGGACCGTTACGGCCTGTATCGGAAGCTGAAGTCTGAACGCTGCACGAATAGTTTGCACGATCGACAATCTCAATAGATGAAAAGTATAGGGCACCATCATTAGATACAAAAACACGTTGATCTTCTTGAACGAAATTTGGAAAAAAATCACGCGCCCAGTAATATTTAACCTCTGGATAATGTTGTGGTGGATCACAGAATATAGATTTTCCCCAATTCATATCGGCAGTTTCAGCTGATCGTTTAAGATTAAACTCCATAATAAATCCAAAGTTCAAATGCGCACTCTCTGAACGAATGCGCCCAAATTTGTTCTCTGCCACGCAATGGTATGCTCCTTGATCCAGTGCCTGTTTTGGGTCATAAATTATGAGATTTCCACCAGAAATTGTGTAACGATCATTGGTTAGCGGATCGATATTCTTATACTCGAGTGTATCGTTAACATAAACTTCACGATACCAGCGATAAGTGGGCGTGGGAAATCCACCTGCTAAACAACTCAGTGTAACATCATTTATGAGACGATTCTTGCTAGTATCAAATGTGGTATCGTTGGGTTGCTTCACAAAATAAGGCCCGCGTGGAATTTTCTCAAAATCCCGAATGTCTAAGCCATAGTGAAATGGGCGTTTGTCGTCCAATTTCAGATTTATATTTTCTGGATTGTAGAGAACTCTAGATTCACAAATGAACAAGTTTAACTCGATGTCATATGCGGGCATAAACATCCATCGGTCGCGCTTCTTCGAGAAGCCATAAACAACACGATCTCTTGTAAAGGGGTTATCACCGTACTGATTCGGTCCTGTAAGATTGGTTAGGTAGGATTACACTTTTGGGCAGAAATATACTTACCAATAAACCCGCGCAAATTGTTTTGATTTCGATTGCTTATCGAGCCTGGTACCGTATTATAGTACTGATTCTGATTATTACGATTGTACTCATTCTGATACATACTTTGCACTAGGAATCGATTGTCATGTAAGTTTTCGTTTTCAAGTGCTTGATTTTCATCGAATGCGAATGAATCTTCCAACACGAGGAAAGGAGAGTTATCATCATTTGCCCAGCTATTGGGACCAGTTTGTCGCGCGGATATCCAGAAGCGATTTTGCTTTTGATTCTGTATTATTAATTGCTTTAGAATGAAGGAATGTTTTTCAACGCTGTCCACATTTAAGAGTTCTGCATTATAAGCTTTACAGATCTTTTTCGCTTCTAGCCAATTGCGTTTTGGTGAACGAATAAATCTATAGCAGGTTTGGCGGAACGATATCCAATGCTCTGGACAGAAATTCTGCTCTTCGTTATTAATATCCGAATACTCAAATCCCGTAGATGAAATGCCACGATTGAAGGGATCATAATTACTTATACCTCCACCGGCGCCACTATAGGTACCACTGCCCAAAGCGTTCGATGATTGGTCATAAAAGTTGTTTTGATTTTGCGGACCGACAAGTAAGCCTCCACCACCCTGTTGGGAGTTCTGTTGGTCGAGTTGAGATTGTATTAGTGGATTTTCATATTGGGAAGTGGGTGGCTGTTGATTATTCGTATAAAGGGGATTATATCGTGGTTGATAATCCTTATTATATGATGGCTGATATGTTTGTGGATCGTTAGACACTTGTGCTTCGGCGTTAGCATTAGCGTCGCTATATCCTGATATTAGAAGAAGGATCGAAAAATAAGCCACAACTTCCATTTCCACTGAATATTATCAGGGAACTTAGGACCGACGAATTGTATATATTAATTCAATACTTCTGGTAGCTCAATGGTACATTTTTGGTTGGAAATGTGGCATTTAATATTCAGCACGTTGTGAGGCTAGCAATCTCCCTAAAAATAAAATAAAGATCATAAAAACATGAGATAAGTATGTATATAGTTAAACATATTTTCCGAAATCTAACTTTCACATATCTACACATCGTTACCTTAGATAGATAGATTAAGTAGAGGTATGCACTGCGACCAAAAGATCTATTGTGAACTCAACCGTTTATAGTACCTCATCTAATCCCAGAGAACCCAGAAATTTGAGGAGGTGTCCACTTCACTTGGCCAGAGTTGGCCTAGGTGCCTCGCAACTGCCTCGCACTCTCTCACTGCAGTGACCCTTCAGAAAACCTGTCAATATCCTTACCCTCTCTTTGGGGAGATTTATTATTGCCCTACCACGTTACCTTAATTCACAAAGGCACTAACCAACATTTTTTCGAAACTGAGTTTTCACATATTTTGGGAGGATATATAAAAATACACCTTTACTAAAGTCTTTAAAGTGTTAGTACCAAAAACAACGGAGTTATGCCACTTTTTAACAAGCCTTATTTGCAGTTTCTGATTGATTGTTTTTGGCTTCTCCTTTAAAATAGAAAATTTGCTAGTTAGGGCCTTTGTATCGTCGTTTCAACTTTCTCTAAACTACCTTTGCATGAAGGGATGTTTACCCGATTTCAAACGTTTTCGATAATATGCAGAGTTAGACTTAATGATATAATTGAATCAAGTTAGGTACAAATCGAAAAAGTGGTTACCGCGATATACTTTTGTAAGAAACCACGGTACCACGCTCAATTCCTAAAAGTCTATAGCAGTCTTATGTATTGTTAAGAGATTGTGTAACTATTAGCTTGGAGTAAATTAGCGTCCTCAGTTATTGATATATCGGCGTTTTAGAATTTCTGAAATTTACCGTTATACGGGAAGCGGGTGCAATTTTAGTCCGATCTGAATAATTTTCAACAAGTTGCTTTTCCGTACCAAGGTTATTAAGTGCACCCAGTTTGGTAGAAATTGATAAATCGGTTACCGAGATACACATTTGTGGTCATAAGCGGGCGGCGCTATGCCCTTTATCCAAAAATTTATAATATTCTAATCTTCTCTTAAGTTGTTATTGCAACCTTTGATTTTAAGTGAATTAACTCCAGTAGTTTTGTAGTTTGGTCTTTGAAAAAATAAAAATAAAAAACAGCATCAAAAATCTCATTATTATGGATTCCGTTGAAAAAATTGTTTAATATTTTTTTGCAGATTGTTTAAGCTTAAACTGTTTTGTCATCTGATTTAAGTTTTTTAAAAAAATCACTTAAGAAAATATTTCTATTCTTAAAAAACTCAATTTTTGTAGGTATTTTCAAATCATTCCAGCTCACGTAAATATTAATATTCTTCCAAAATATTTTGGTGGAATCCTTCAAATATAATCAGCCATATCATGAGTTTCATTTTCCCCCGAACCGGTTCACTGTTCACTCCAGTCACTTTACTATAGGCGGATGACAAATTTTTGGGTGAATTTTTTTAGGTGAATCTCAGGATAAGGCAGAATAAATATTGTAATCCCGGCGGAAAAACCGAAACTTTTTTTGGTGATGCAGTCTAATGTACATATTTAGTTTATTTTGGATTTCTTCTAGCATAAAATATTTTGAACATTTGGAATAACGCCTTAATACAAAAAAAATAAGAATTGAGAAATAGCCTCCAACGGTTATATTAGGAGTGTTCGCTCAGCAACTGGCAGTAAGAATTAGAATTAAGAGAATAAGGTACCTTACTCTCCCAAAGAGAGAAACTTACTAAGTTTTGCGCGAACAGGAATTAGCAAACATTTGCAAGCTTCACTGCCAGCTGGCGTCCACGGTTGCATTTCGAGCGTAATAATTTTTTAAATTATTTCAGGTAGAAACGATAACAGGACCTATACGTATATTTCTTCTTATTCTGACTTTCTTCAACATACGCTTCAATTTCTTTTTGGAAGTCACTGTCGGATTTCCTATATCGACAGCGGTGTCGAGTGCGTTCCGATTACGAATACAACATTTTCAGCCGGGTACCTTTCAAATGTTTGCAGTTAATTAAATTAATTGAATAAACAAATATTTCATACTTCTTTCATTAGTAAATCGCAACAAGATTGTTCATTTTTAAATTTAACGAACTTGTTGATTCAAATTAATGTTGACAAAAATGCAACCGTATGCCACAATCCTGCTTGCAAATTCTTACTGGGAAAAATTTTCCTAGTACGAATTTGCCACTTCCCCTCCAAATGAAATGTAAAAATTGTGCTCTCTCCCTGCTCTCTCTCAGGATAAGGCAGAATATCTGGACGCAGCTGGCATATAAATTTTTAATGGAAACATCGCAAATTTATATTCGGTTCGTTTTATATACTTCGACGAAAAATTCGGATGAGATTTGATCTCCGAAACAGATGAACCTTCTACCTATGCACAATGGCCAGCAAACGATAAAAAGTGGCTAATATTCGAAATCTTATCGGAATGGCTTAAAACTTGCTACTTACAAGGGGTTTTTGGGGTCGGTGATTACGAATCTGAAGTAAGATTCTAAAAATTCAAAATGACTAATCCAATAATAATAATAATAGATTGGCGCTTACACATATGCTAGTGTTTGGCCGAGCTTCTCCTCCGATTTGTGGTGTGCGCCTTGATGTTGTCACACAAAGCGGAGGGACCTACAGTTTTACGCCGACTCCGAACGGCGATTGTATTTTATGAGAAGCCTTGGACTTACAAATTTCAAACACAACTATTTTAATCAAAATGAAATTGTGACCACAATATCGAGGCAATTGCTATAATAGGTTTGTTCCACAAGCTACTCGAAGTCACTTCGAGTTACACATACGCGTTTCACAAGTAAGTGTTACGGTTTTTTTGATATACGCTGATATTTGATTGCTCGACTTTTTTTACAAGATTTGTACTACTTAGTAGCTTGTGGAACAAACCTAATATTTTACAACGGTGTCGTAAGTGTCGTATACTTCAAAAGCTTAAATAAATGTTTTTAACACTGCGAAAATCCTGACTTTGATGGTAGTTTGCGAACCCCCTTAATATATTTTTTAGGCGTTTAACAATAATAGCTACTTACGACACCGTTGTGGATACCCCAACTGTATATTTTGGCTATTAGCATAAAAAATTAAATTTCTAATTTTGACTTTTGGCCGTTTTTGAATGCCTACTGACCCCGTGCCATGGTGAAATTATTATTGCGCCATGCTTCTTTCTACCTTTATAAATTATTGTTGCTTTCATTAAACGGCAACTAAAAAATAAATATATATGTACGTACATACATATCGTTGGTCCTCTGCAATAACGACACAATTCAAAATTTGAAAAATAAAAACTCTTAACACTGTTAAGTGTCTCATGTCTCTAAACCTTGTACAATCAAAAATCAGTGTTATCATGAGCTTCATTTTCGCCCGAAATCGTTC